CTTTGGCTGAATTTCTTCCTGTTAGGGGACCCTAAATGGGCCAGAAGCTGCCCCGAAGAGGCAGCAAAGAAGGAAGTCCTGCGGACCATGGAGAGACAGCAGTCGACCCGATCGGTCCAGGAGAAGCCTTCCAGAAACCAACAGGAGAAAGGCTAGCCTAACTTCAGAGTCTAGCCCAAGCTACAAGCAACCAAAGTCAAAAAGCACTATTTTAAGCTGATTGTAAACAGCGCATTTGAATCTGGATAAGATCATCAATTTTCTCTATCCTACTTATTAATTTTCCTGGGGGAAAAAATTCCCAAGAAGCAAAAAACCTCCGAACGTGAAGGAGGGGGATTTTTGCCCCACCCTTTTACTAACAGAAGCAGCGAATTAAACCTTTTATGGAGGACCAAAACATATAGAAATGAAATGAAATGAATATAAAACCTAAATCTGGATACGTTTGGAATTGTTGAATGGTTAGGATTCTCATTTTAAAGGCAATTTTCTATTTTAATAATTTGAAAAATTAACTGGTGCTGACATCTAGTGGTGGATAAAGACTATGACAGCTATGGCTTTTATATAGGACTTGGCAAAATCTGGAAAAAACTGTGCTTGTGACCTTCAAAGCTATAGCAATAGAGAACAACTGTGACAAAAAAAGAAAACAATTTGGATTGCAGACAAAGAGAGGATTATAAACTTCAGAAAACCTTTTTGAACCTTTTGGATTATAAATATCTACTAAACTGTGACTCTAAAGATATTTGCAGAGAAAAGAAAACCTCGATTCTTAAGCACTACGGAAAATCAGAGACTTGCAGAAAGAACTTATCAAGAAAAAATAAATACCTTTCAAGAGGAGACATATGAGATGCTGCAACTAATTCAAACAACAATGACTTCAAACCACAACGAAATCCAAAATAACTTTGAAAACATAAACCAATTCATCTCCAGTTTAACTTTACAACAACAAAAAATCCCAGGAAATAACAATAGAGAAGAAGCAGATAAAACAAATAACTGAACACAAATTCGAGGACAGAGACTCAAAGATGGAACTTAACACAATAAAGAAGTATGATTTAACCCAAGTGGAAATTTTTTTTACAAGAAATATTGGTTTTGGAAAAGGCAATTATACTTTAAGACCACAAGACAAATTTGAGGATAAGAAAAAAGACTGGGCAAAATGGATTGCAGAGATGTCAGGAACACCACTAGAACTGGAGAGACAAAAAATGATAAGAGATACAGAGAGAAAAAGAAAAAGATTTTCAACAAACATGAAAGAGCAAATGCTTCTTACTAAGATATTGTACTTGACTTACAGTGATACCTACAAGAATATGGAAAGACTTTTTGATTCAGCAGAATATACCGATTAAGGACACTGTGCAAAAGAAGAAGGCCAAAGTAAAAATTAAGAAAATAGATGATGGGACTTATCAGAGAGAATGTTTAAAAAAGAAACACCTGTTTGGATATGGTTAAAGTAATAGAAAGATTTTGGATATGAATTTTATTTTGAGAAGGAGGAGCCCCTCAAATAACATAGTATTTTCTCTTTCTTCCCTTTTCTTCTCTTATTTCCTGATATGAGTAATATAAAAGAGTTAGAATGGCTTATATATAAGGACATATTTTAGATATTTAAATGTGCTTGATTTTAAGAAAATTACAATGGATTGGAAAAAAATGTTCTGAATAAGAGTTAAAAGACCAGATGATTAGATTTATTAAATGGAATATTTAAAGATTAAATATATTCTTAATTATGGTAAAAAAAGAATGGAAAATTTTTGGAAATAAATATGTATTAGCTTAGGGGAAACATGGACTTTCAGTAGTATACTATCTTTTTATCCCTCTTTATTCTTGTTCTTTTTTTCTCTTATTTATTCCTTAAGTAAGGTAAAAGTTATGGGGTGGTTTACATGAGAAAAAATAGAATCAAATATTTAAATGTAATTAACTTTGAGAAAATCTTAACCAGTAAGAATGTCTTGAATACTGTGGGAAAAACAAATGTAAACAAGAACTGTAAACGGGATCTATGATGAGGCAACCAGAATGACTAGATAGAAAAGAAATATTATATTGATGTGATTATTATTTGCGGAAATATTAGGGAAAAAAATTATATTCTATTGTTATCTATCAAAACAATAAGAATTGTATTAACTTAAGGTTGGTAAAAGAGAACATTATGGGAAGAAGAGAAAATCAAGTAAAGCTATTATGTGGACTATAAGATCATAGAAACCAATTGTTAGCGAATGTTTTTTAAATGTAAACCTAGACAACACACTGTTTACCGAATATTAAGGTGACCATGTTAAAAAATTAATAAAATATATTATTTAAAAAAATGATAAAGGGTATAGAGGCTAAAATCATATGATGAATGGTTGAGAGATTGGACAGTCATTTGTCCAGAATGGTATGGAGTCTCCTGTTTGTACAGAGGTTTGGACTAGAAGACCTCCAAGCACATTTTGAAAGAAATGAAGGAACTCTTCCTTGATTAGTCAAATAAAGTAAAAGCTATCCATTGCATTGTATTTAGATCGGTTCTTCTAGAGTTTTTTCTTTTCTTTTTCAAATTAAAGACAGGAAGGGATTCTGATTGAGGATTGCAATTCCCATTTATAATCCCTCAATACTTTCTCAAAAGACCAGTAATTGCCATTGTAATCTTCTTATCTGGGATGTAATGGTGACAATAGCAATACATGGCCTCTAGAAGGCAAACCACTCCATCACTAACCATAACAAAAAAAAATTCTGATCTTGATTTACTGCAACTTTATTTATTTAATTTATATTCTGCCTCTATTATTTTTATAAATAAGGCAGTGAACCTTGGGGTATTTAAGGAAGGAGATAGGACCAATATACCTATGATTCCTATTCCAGCCTTAAACCCCTCCAAAATTGGGGGAGGAATGGTGCCAAACTTCAATACTGCCAGTGACATCATTGACTTTCTGCAGTCCACTAGACAGTTCAGACACTGGGCAACCTGATTTGTCAAGCATATCCCGTCACTGAGTTACTGGTCTAACTATCTCAAGGATTGCTTCTCTTGGTATAAAGTCCAAACACCAATCTCCAGAGAAGGGCCAGTCTCTATGACCCCTTTTTATGAAGTTGTCAGGAACATGGGGGAAGCTTTACCCTACTTTGTATCCAAACTATAGTATGGACTTGCTCAAGAACTGTTTTTGACCTGTATTTTTTCTCTTTTCAGGAAAGGAAACAAGATCTTCCTCTTTAAATTGTTTGAACAAGTTTATAATGATTTAAAATATTTAGAGCCTAAGTATGTACTGTATATATATGCTGGGGTTATATACTGTTACAGAATATCAACTCTGGGCAGCTCACAAACTCAGTATTTGTAAATAGGAATAAAATATACAAGATCTATAATAAACGTTATAAGTAACAGTGCAAATGAAGCTTAGTTCCCAAAACAAATAAAATTACTTCCATTTAGAATTTTTTTTAAAAAAAAAAAAATTACAATTGTTGACAAGACCAAATGGCTTTGTTTGTCCCTCCCCAAAAAATTCTGGATACATTCCATCTTTATTTATATTTATTTATATCCAACTTTTATTATTTGTACAAATAACTCAAGGCAGCAAACGTATCCAACACACCCTCCTCTTATTTTCCCCACAACAGCAACTGTGAATTGGGCTGAAAAAGAGTGACTGGCCTAAGGTCACCCAACTGGCTTTCCTGGCTAAGATGGGACTTGAACTCACAGTCTCTTGCTTTCTAGCTTGGTGCCTTAACCATTAGACCAAACTGGCCTTTTAATAGTAGATCTTTATCCTTCATAGAATTATACTTTCTCATATGAGATTGACCTCCAATCTAGGGGTCCTCCTGGACTCAAAACCTCTGCTTAAAGAGCAGGTAGTAGCTGTGGCCAAGAAGATCTTTGCACAGGTACATTTAGTGTGCCAGTAGCTCTCCTTCTGTGACCAGGAAGCCCTTCATTCATTCCTTGGGTCACCTCATAATGAGTCTACTGTAATGTGCTCTACATGTAGCTGCATTTGAAGACAACTCAGAAACTATAGCTGGTCCAGAATGCCATGGAGCATGAAGTAATGGGTGTGTCATAGTCTGTTCATGTATCCCTGCTATTTTGAGAACTGGATGGATTCAGTTCAAGCTGTTGGTTATCACCTATAAAGACCTTCATGGCATAGGGCCTAGCTATCTAAGGGACTATGTGTCTTTATATGTTTCAGCCCATCTAGTGAGATCAACTAGAATGGGCACACTCCATTGATTAAGCGATAAGCAGCACCTTAAATTGCACCTGGGAGCAAACTGATAACTAGGGCAGCTCTCAGGCATGATAGGTTATTAAGATTAGTGTTAGCTCACTGAATGTATTATAGGCAAAAAGGCAGAATTTAAACTTAAACAACAATAATGACAACATGCTGTGATCAGTCAAAGGTTTAGTGAAATTAAAGTACAAAGAGATGTTCTTGTTGATAACAATTTTTTATATATATTCTGCCAGGACAAACACATCTTTCAGTAATATCAACAGTAGTAGTTCCTTTAAAAATGAGGAAAACCTGCCCTTGGATCATCCCAGATGGCCTCCTTCTGTATAATAGCAATAGCAACAGCACTTATGTGCCGCTTCACAGTGCTTTAAAGCCCTCTCTAAGTGGTTTACAGAGTCAGCATATGGCCCCCAACAATCTAGATCCTCATTTTACCGACCTCGGAAGGATGAAAGGCTGAGTCAACCTTGAGCCAGTGAGAATCAAACTGCTGGCAGTTGGCAAGCAGTTGCCAGAATTAGCCTGCATTACTGCGTTCTAACCACTGCGCCCCCACGGCTCTGTAATAATATAGATTCATCCTCATATACAATATCCTTATGTCAAATGAAGCAATGTTAAAGGACAGTGAATCAAGAGATCTCTGCATGCAGCTGGAATATTCAGGAGAACAAACTAAATCAGTACCTTAACTTGAGTTACAGGGCTGGTCCCTCTCTTTTCGTTTTTCATCCCGGTTGGTGAGAGCGTCCCTGTCGTATTTGGCAGCTGAGGCGTGGAAGGCATCTTGGCGCCAGGCGATATCTGCATGCTGGCCAACTGAGCGGCATAGAGTTGCTGCAAAACAAGAACAGCTTTTCTCTTTTAGGAGTCCTGGAGCAGAGAATCCTAAATGGCAGGTGCTTCATGTTTTGTGTTCCTGGACTTGGGGCATCACACATCTAACCAGCTTGATAAAAGGTATGGAAAGGAAGACTTCTGGATTAATGGTCACATGAAACAAACAAACAAACCTTGGAGAGTTGTCTGGTTATCCTACCAACAATGCTTTGTTTTGTTTTTAATACCTTGCAGTGTTTCTCTGACTTGAGGAAAAATGACAATTACAGGTAGTAGTCCTTGACTTACAACAATTTGTTTTGTAACCATCCAAAGTTACAATGGAACTGAAAAAAGTGAGTTATGGCCGTTTTTCACATGTATGACCGTTGCAGCATCTCCATGATCACATGATCAAAATTCAGACGCTTGGCAACCGACACATATTTATGACAGTCGCAGTGTCCCAGGGTTATGTGATCACCTTTTGAGACCTTCTGACAAGCAAAGTCAACGGGGAAGCCGGGTTCACTTAACAGTCATGTTACTAACTTAACAATTGTAGTGATTCACTTCACAACTGTGGCAAGAAAGGTTGTAAAATGGGGCAAAACTCACTTAACACATGTCTCGCTTAGCAACAGAAATTTTGGGCTCAATTGTGGTTGTAAGTCGTGAACTACCTGTACTGCTGTTTCTGCCAGTAACTATAAGACGTTGCATATACCATGTTTTAGTTGCTAATATAGAAACTTAATGAGATCCCTGCACATTAAGTTAGTAAAAATAACTACAGAGTTTACATAAGAAGTCTTACACTTTTTAGAGAACTGAACATTGTCAAAAGAAGCACAATTATGTCACATATTCTTAAAATATTGTGCACTGTGTCTTGAACAAACCAAATAGTTGATTGTCTCTTAACAACCAGCCTTAAAAACCTCACCTTCATGTAGCAATAGCAATAATTCTCCCATTATAAACAGGGAAAGGTCTATTCCTCTCTCGCAAATAAATCTATAAAAAAATGGTGGTTTATATGTAATTTCCAACTTTACTATCATTTAAATGGCCAAATTAAAAAAAAATATAGTAATCCAAAGCAGACCTTTCAGCATATATAATTAAATGAAAGTTTAATAAAGAATAATTTGTAAAAGCCAGATGTGCTTAAGTCATAGTGATTGGAGGTTTTTGGAACATTTTTTTTTAAAATTTTTATTATTTTCAAGTATAACAAAATATAAACATAAACTTGACGCATATAAATACAAAACATCAATACACAAAAGAAAAAATACTTTACGGGTGGTCCCGGCTGCCCCCTCTCTGCTTCCCCCTCTTTCTCGTACCAAACCTTCCTCCCTCTAGACTCTCAACCACTCCACCTTCCTCCTTCCACTCCCTACTTCCCAACCTCTTTCTCAAGCACCAACCAGAAGCAGTTTGGGGTAACAGCCAGGATCATCCTCATAAATATACTTCCAGAATAATTA